GGTGCAGGATGGAACAAGAGTCACTTCTCTTGTTCATAGGGTCACTATGAGTCATGAGTGGCTTGATAGCACCTAACAATAGCAGTAGCTGTCAAAAAAGTCAGAAGTTTGCATTTTTTACCCGTAAGGGTGACTTAACAGAGGAAGACATTGACCAAATAACAGACAAAACAGAAGATAAATCAAGGAGATGGGACTAGCGCTGTAACAGAAGATAAACGCAAAGAGATGGGAATAGTACTGTGGACTAATGATAGCAGTGTAATTGATTCCTCATGCCAAATCTGAGTCTTTAGGTAATGACAGCCAAGAATTTTCTCAACTCAAGAACAAGATATTTCTGTTTAGATATTAGCATTCAATTCGTCACTCAGTAGGAAGGACTTCTTCACTCAGTATTTTGCAACAAGAACCTAGCCCATCTATTTTTCTGAGACAGTGTTCTTTCATCTTGTCTGATGTTTGTGCACAAAATTTATGTAATATAGTTTGTAAATGCGCAAATGCTGAAGGTGCATGTGTATCAAAGTTAGGGGAGAGAAGTATTTAATGTAGAAATGAAAACTTCCTTAGATTGACTATTCTAATTAGTGTTTGCAAATCTAAAAATGAGAATGTTTTGCAACTGTGGAGCAAAAGAGAAAGCCTCTAATTTTCACAAAATTAAGAGCTGCCACTTGAGTACACACTTAGCAGTGAGGTTGGTAGGTCAGATTATAAATGTGTATTTAACTTTTTAACAATTAGACAAACTCTTCAGAATATGTAATGCCATCAACAGTATATGCCAGCAATAGTTGTTCCACATCCGTATAGGACTTTTTTTTTTTAACATTATAGCCTTTCTAAATGGATATATAATGGAAATTTGTCCTTAATTTGCATTTTTCTATTGGCCATTATTGTATACCTTTTCATGTTCTTGTGAGCCTTTCACAGATTTTCTTTGGTTATATATCTAATAATTTATTTTGCACTGTTTTTGAAAACTAGATTATTTTGTTACTAGGTTGAAGAAGTTTTTTGTATATCCTTTGTTCAAGTTTGTTGTCAGTAGGTGTTTTTAAAATATTTTATTTCAATTTAAAGCTTGTCTTTTTGTCTCCTTTTAAAGAGCAGTATTTAAAAATATTTTATGAAATCCAGTTTATTAGCTTTTGGGTTTATGGATTCTAAGAAATCTTCATCTCACCTAAAATCACCAAGATACTCACCTGTTTTCTTTTAGAAGTTTTATGGTTCATACATTTAATCCACTTAAGCCTTAGTCCTATTTTTTATATAAATTGTTGTTGAAAATATACATCATATACAATAATTTCTACATGTGCTGTTCAGTGTTATTGATTATATTCTTCAGGTTGTTCATCTCACCCTTATTTTCTGAACTGTTTCTCTGCCATTTATATAAACTCACTGCCCCTAAGTTTCATATTTAACCTTTGGATTGCTCTTACCAATTTGATTCCATAAATCATTCCTTACAAAATTATAATGCTGAGGGAGCTCTGGTGGCATAGTGGCAAGAAGCTGTGCTGCAATCCCGAAAGCGCGCAGTTCATAGATTCCCACCAGCTGCTCCGTGGGAGAAGGATGGACAGTCTTTTCCTGTGCAATTAACCACCTCTGAAAAGCCACCAGAGGATCAGATATGGGCCAGGTAAACAGTCTGCTATTAAGCGAAACTCTTGCTTGATTTTGGAAGCAGGGTGGCATCTACTTCCTAAAGAGCATGCCTCCGGAAACTCTGATAAAAGTTGATGGTTGTAGAGGGGCTTCAGGCCTTTTTGTTCATGGGGTCGCTATGAGTCGTGCTCAGCTCGAAGGCAATCAACAACACAACAAAAACATTGCTTGTTTGCTCATCATAAAGATTGAATAGGTATGGCTAAAGGATACTCCCCTGAAGCACATTTTACCTGATTTGAAACCACACAGTGTTTCCCATAGTCTGTTTGGACAGCTGCTTCTTGGGCTATCTTTAGGTGTTGCATGAGTACAATTAAATATTCTTGGATTCCCATTCTCAAGAAAAACTAGACACTGAAGAAGAAAGTGGCATCAGGATTGGAGAAAGACTCATCAGCAACCTGCATTATGCAGATGGCACAGCCTTGCTTGTAGAAAGTGAAGAGGATTTGAAGTACTTATGACAAAAGATCTAAGACTACAACCTTCAAAATAGATTATATCTCAGCATCAAAAAGTCTTCACCACTGGGCCAGTGATGGAGAAAAGATTGAAGTTGTCAGTGACTGCATTTTAATTGGATCCACACTCAACACCCACAGTAGCAACAGGCAAGAAATCAAAAGACATGCTGCAATGGGAAAATGTGTTGTCAAGGACCTCTCCTAAAAATCAATGTTGTCTGAGTTTAAAGACTCAAGTATGCCTAATACAAGGCATAGTATATTTAGCATCTGAAAGTGGATAATGACTAAAGAAGACCTAAGAAGAATCTGTCTTTGAACTGTGGTGGTGTTCGTGAGAGTATTGAATATCTCATAAGACTGTCGAAAGAACAAATCAATTTGTCTTGGAGAAAGTGCAACCATGGTGTTCTGTAGAGGACAGGGATAGTGAAACTTCGTCTCACATACTTTGGGCATGCTGTCAGGAGAGGCTAATCGTAGGGAAAAGATATCATGCTGGGAAAGGTAGAGGATCAGTGAAAGAGGAACACCCTCAGCAAGACAATTGACTGGAAGCAGTGGCCTCGCAGAGACTGAGGGTAGCACAAGAATAGGGCATGGTTCTGGCGAATTGTTCATAGAGTTGTAATTATATATTCACATCAACATTGTTTTAAAGAAGACACCAAAAGATATTTTTTGGCTTCAGGTGTAAGGTGTAAAGAGTATATCAAGGCAGTAATTTCTTGGGTCCTTAGTAACCTCAATGAGTGACTCCAGAAAGTGGATTCTATGAGAACTCATCACATTTATTTTGGACTTGATTTTTATATGAAGTGTGGCATAAGAATATAATTTTATTTTGTTTTTAATTCTTTCTATTTTAATTGAGATTTTAACAAAAGTTTATAGAGAACTTGGATTTCCATTCATTCATTGTTGCACATTTTTCTTCCTACCCATCCCCCCAGTTCATTTTTCTCCTTTTAAACAGTTCTTTCCCTCATCTGTCTCAATGCAGTGTACATTATTTATCCCCTCTTTCTTAGTTTGCCCCAACCCCCACGTCAGTCCTGTTTTATAACAGGGGCATTATGCAGTATTTGTGCTTTTTTGACTGAGATATTTCACTCAGCATAATGTCCTCCATGGTCACCCATTTTGTATAATATTTCCTGAGTTCCTTGTTTCTCAGTGCTGCATAGTGTACCATAGCTTCTCTATTCATTTGTTTGTTGATGGGCACTTTGTTTGGCAAACACATGAAGAAATGTTCAAAATCCCTAGCTCTAAGAGAGATGAAAATCAAAACAACTATGAGATACTATCTCACTCCAGTAAGTAACAATAGCAAAATTCAACAGAGCAGCAAACAAATGCTGATGAGGTTGTGGAGAAACTGGAGCCCATATTCACTATTGGTGGAAGTATAAAATGGTGCAACCACTATGGAAAGCTATATGACGCTTTCTCAGAAAGTTGCAAATAGAAATACCATTTGACCCAGCAGTTCCACTATTGGGAATATACTCTAAAGAAACCATAATCGCCACTCAAGCAGATAATATGCACACCCATGTTTATTGCTGTGTTGTTCACAGTAACAAAGAGATAGTTTTATTTTGTTTTGATTTTGCATGTAGATACCTAATTTTTCAAGTATCATGTGTTGAAAAGACTTTCTCTAACGAATTATTATGGCACTTTTCTTAAAAATGCATTGATCAGCACCATTATCACTAAAGTAGTCAGAGGTATAGAAGTTTTAATAGAACTCAGAATTACAAGGAAGAAGTGAGAAACGTGATTTCATTATGTGCATAGAAACTAATGATACGGAAATAAATGTGTGTGAGTGATTGAAGGAAAAAGTAATTTCCTTTGTAACTTTTACCCAAAGTACAATTAAAAAAAAAAATTGACCATACATGTATGGATCTATTTATGGACTTTATTCTGTTTCCTTAATATTTATATCTATTCTTATGCTAATACTACTCTGTATCTTGGTAAGTCATAGCATTAGCTTTTTTCCTAGAGAGTAAAATGTTTCCTAGTAGAGTCAAAAGTTCCACTTTTGTAGCATTCTTTTGGCTAATGTATGGCCTTTGCATTATCTCTGTCTTAGAATCGACTCACATGTTTCTACAGCAGACCTGACAAAAACATTTGACAATTCATGCTACAAATATAGTTCTATCAGTTCTCCTCAACATTCTTGGAATAAACACCATCTTGATTGTTGTTGATGTTTCTTTCTTTCACCAAGTGTTCTATTTAACCACATTTGCTGCTTTTTGTGCTCTTTTTGCCTGTTTGTATCAGTAGTGTGCTAATGTCATAAAATGAATTGGGAAACAATCATTATATTCTGTTTCCCTAAAATAATCTCTAAGGAATAGAAATCACATGTTTTTTTAGAAACTGGTAAAACTCTTCCATAAGACCAGTTCAACATATCTTAAGCAGTTGACTCCATTCTATTAATTTTAAAATGATCTGTTCTGATTCTCTTAAGTGGGTTTCGCTTTTCCTAGGAAATCATCATATGTTCACATTTTCAGATCTGTTCATCTAACTGATTGTGGTGTTACTTTCAAAGCTGTATGAGATTGTTTACAAGAGCTTTTAAGAAATTTTAAATGCTTGATGTTTTATTAGTTTTCTTTTATTACACGTTAGTCTGGGATGTAACCTAGTCTGTTACTACCTTTTAAAAAATGTCGCTTTTTTCCCCCTCTTTTTATTTGAGGTCATTTATAAGACTAATTTTTGTAACTAATTCATGCCTACTTGACAGGGTGCATTGTTTTATTATCTTATTCAAATCTATGTTTTAATTTTCTGTTTTTAATTTTTTTCCAGGGTAAATTTATTCGGATCAACTTTGATGTAACTGGTTATATTGTTGGGGCCAATATAGAAACATGTATCCTTTTTCTGCTATAAATGTACATTAATAGCATAATCCAAAACAAAGATGATTTGATTGTCCTAATTCTCTGGACAGTAGTCTATGACAGATGATCTCTCTCCCATTAGCCAGATGAAAACATTTAAGCTCAAGAAATTGTATGACTTATTCAGCAATTAAATATTCACTCTGAAGCAGCATATTTTTGCTGTTTGTTTTTAACACTGTATTACAACCTGTTCCCAAGGCCAGGGAAGTGGAGAATTTGACTAAAGTGAGTTTTGCCCTGTACCTTGACTTCCTTAAATGTTTGCGTGCCTCTGGAGCGCTCATAAACTAGAGAAACTGTTGTTTGGAGCCACTCTGAAGTTATCCTATCATATTGTACGTGTGTTAACGTCACCCCATCCCACCCTTTTTTTAAGATTTTTTTCCTCCCATCTGGTTTTACTTTAGACATTATACCCCTTGAAACAAGCCTTATTAAAGTACAGAAGTAAAATCTTTTCAGTTACTTGTAAACAAAGTAAAAGTAGAAGAAAATATAAAGCATCAAATATGTAAATGGTCCTTAGACATATCACATACTTATCATAGTCGAGACCTGATACCAAATATCCCAAAAATCAGTGTTGTCAAGCCACTTCCGACGAATAGTGATCCCATGTGGAGGTATACATACAGATACAATAAAATAGAAGTGAGTTCCAAAGAGAAAAGGGCTGAGATGACAACTCTCTGATACCTGTTACAATAATCCTCAGTGATAAAAACACATTGTGTTTGTTTCTCAGAATAAATCAGCTTAGGGGAGGAATAGATTAGAATTTTCCTATTAACTCAGAACTTTATTATTTTAGGTCTTTATATACTCGGAACCGCATAACACTGGGCAGTTGAAAATGACAGAAGAATGAACAGCTCTTTGTAAAGAGCTATTATAGCAGCATGGGGAAACATCCGATAATCTCTTAAGTTCCCTTCTGGTCCATTGTATACATTTTCTTTCTACTAATTTTTTTTTTCTTCTTCCACTTACAAAGTGATATAATTTAGATTGGTGCACTGCAAACTAGTTGATAATATTTCAGAAAAAGAATAGGTTTTACCAATTAAATTTGAAGAAATCTTGAAAGAAGACTTTCTGCTAGTCTGTTTATTCCTTAACCATCTGTGCCTAGACCTTCTGGAAAAGTCTCGAGCTGTTCGTCAGGCGAAAGATGAGCGCACCTTTCATATCTTTTACCAGTTGTTATCTGGAGCAGGGGAACACCTGAAATGTAAGTTGCAAAAGCTTTCATATTTTATACTCACTTGAATGAATTTTTTTTATATTCTTTTAAAGAGAGGAAGTCTAGGAAACTATAATCTTAAACCTTCATAGCCTCAAATTCTAACTTGTTTGAGCATGAGAGTGAACTGGCACATTAAGAATGAGAAACTACAATTTTGAGTGGTTAGGGTGTGTGTGTGTTGTTACTTTAGTGCTTATTACTTCTCACATATTTTTACATTATAAAATGAACAAAGATGGGTTCTCTCCCAACAATTAGCAATATGAAAATAAGAAACTGTCTATTTGTTGGTTAAAACCAAGCAATGAATAGTTTGTGTTCCTCCGTGTGTGTGTGTGTGTGTGTGTGTGTGTGTGTATATTCTACTCAAAAGAAACAGGTGGAGTGTGGTTTTTGTTTGTTTGTAGCATAAATCATAAAGGACTGGAAGCTTTTAGGACTGAACAAGGTGAAAAATAGAACTCTGGTTAGAGGTATATTAGTGAGAAGAGAAGATACACAACTTTCCAGATGCTTCTGATTCTCAAATTCAATGTTGCTTCTATACAATATTGTATGCTGAGTGTCTTCATAGATACATACATAAGTAAATACTTTTCTCATCTGTGGTCTAGGCTCTTGCTAATCACAGGCGTGTATGAAAACAGTACACCCCTAAATTAATTAGAGGAAGACCTACAAGGAAGCAACAGCTAAATAAATAGAGACAGTGCCAGTGAGACACTAAAAAATCAAGGTTATGCAACATGAGATGTTGACAAGAAGAAAACCCTCAGGCTTCCTGACTAGCTGTGACTCTGCAGTAGTAAGAAATTTTTTAAGAAGTCCAACCACCAAACATGATCATTTGCCTACAGAAGAGGAGGACATGGAGAAAGAAAGCAAACAGTATTCAGTAGAAGTGAAGGGTAATGCTGATAGGAGATGGAGTGATAGGCAAAAATTCTCTGAAAGGAAGCCAGGTACAAAGAATGCTGTGGCAGCACATTGTAACCTCTGTTATAAGGATAAATACCCTATCAATTTGGTTGCTCCTTACAATGTCCAGTCTCAAGAGCACACTTACTCTAAAAAAGTTCAGTTCTCTTTGCGTTATTGAACCCTGAAGAGCAAGTAGCTGGTGAATTAGCACAGTGTCAGGAATAGGCATGCACCACTCCAGGAGACACATTGACCACAGCATGTTTCAGAGCATTGACTACACTTAGAATTTGCTGGATGTGTCATTCTTTACACCTTCTCCATCTGTGTTTCCATCTCCTGTCCATCTTAGTCTTTTTTATTTTTTAATTGGTTTGATAATAATGACTATAAGCTGCTTGCTAAGATAGTAATGTAGAGTATGACTTCATTTCATTCCAAAATCAGTGAGGCGCACCTATTTGGAAAGTTTACTTTATATCCCAGTGATGCCATTTCAAATATAAACGTTGTACGAACCACTGTCTCCAAGCTCTTGTTGACATTTGTGTTGTTAGCATAGTCTTATCCTTTCATTTGTAGAGCTATTGGAAAATCTTGTATGTCTGTGTGTTTACCTGGCAGTCTAAAGGAGGAGCAGGTATGGTGGTGATAGGATGGATATGAACTGTTGTTCTGCAGTGGTATCGGTGGTATTGGACATGGGTGTTTTATAAGAGTTCATTAAATTTTTTTCCATTATATTTTCTTATAGCTGACTTGCTCCTTGAAGGGTTTCATAACTACAGATTCCTCTCCAATGGCTATATTCCTATTCCGGGACAGCAGGACAAAGACAACTTTCAGGAGACGATGGAAGCGATGCATATAATGGGCTTCTCTCATGAAGAAATTCTTTGTACGTTTGATTTCTCCAAAATTCTGAGACTCATTTTCATAAAACATACAGCTTTGGTGTAAATAACCTACACACAAATACGGTTCAGAAACTGCCTCTAATTCTATGAAATCCTGAGATGTGTCTTACTGAAAAGCTTTGTATAGCTAACTTATAACACACAATAAATGAAGATACGTGTTTGCTGCATATTGATGACTATTAGCACTGAGTACTTTGCCTTTGTATCCCTCCACAGCAATGCTTAAAGTAGTATCCTCAGTGCTGCAGTTTGGAAATATTTCTTTCAAGAAAGAGAGGAATACCGATCAAGCATCCATGCCAGAAAATACAGGTGAGCTGATGGGGATTGGCTTCCTTTCTAGTTAAATGATGTGCTTTGATGTTCTCCAAGCATATGTTTCAGTGCCAGTATAAATGCACTGCTAAGGCATTTTCTAAGTAAGCTCACCTGGCTGCTTGAGGGCCATGCTGATTCTATGAATGAGAGAAGTGACCCTGATGTGGAGGCAGTGGGCCTTCTGCCCCCACTGTGGAGGTAGAGTGATTGAAGAGAACCTGGGCCCCAGGAGACCACATAACTCTCTGAAGGATGAGCCATAGCTGTGTGGTTCTAGCCAGTTTCTCTATGAATATAAACTCCCTACTCTCAACTACAATGAATTTTTCAAGGGAAGGTGAATGTCTAGATTTTAATATGAAATCTATCTTTTAAGTGTTGAAAGTGGGTTTCACTGTGCACTTTAAAAAGTGTTTGTAGGCCCCACAGGCTTCCAGTTTGTTTTTGAAGCTAGGGTATTCCTCCCCCAAACCCCACTAAAGAAGATTCTCTTCTCTGTATCACCTCGAATGCTCAGTTACCTGAATAACTTGGTTTGATGCACAAAAGCACACATCGTTCACCATGACCAGTGAAGGCTGGCATGGAGCGTGTTCTCTGCCTTTGAAAAGTCCTTTTTTAATAAACAATTTGGGATCTGTTAACAGCTTAATTGAAAGTTGGACAGTTTCCTTCCACTCGATTTACAGCCTCTGAACCCAATATAGGGTCAGGTCAGCTAAGAGGTGGTGCTGGCTTGATGGCAGGGAGTTGAGAGTGAGGGCCTCTTTGGGTGTGTCCTCTCTCTCCTGACCGAATCTTTACCTATCATCTCAGAGCTATCGAATCATTCAGTCAAAGTGGTGCGGTTGATAGACGATCATGCTTTTACCCTATAGCTCTCCGAGATGTTAGCTGGCCTCTTTAAGCCTTAGAGCAAGACATAGATTGGTTCAATTTTGCTTTGCAATCTTTAAAAGACCCATAGATGCAGAGGGATCAGAGGAATGTATTTCTAGTTTTTTGTAACTTTTTAAAATTGTTATTTTAACAAAGGTTTACAGAAAAGTTAGATTTTCATTCATTTAATATTGCACATTTTCCTCCCTCCCTTTTTCTCCCCTCTCCCCCAGTCCACTTTGCAATACACCTCTTATTCCAGTTTGTTGTCCTATAGGGCCTAATCATATATTCCTTTCAGATAATTCTACCCCTCATCTACTCTAATGCAGTGTTCATTATCTATCCCCTCTTCTTAGTCTCTGCCAAGCTCCCATGTCAGTCCTATATTATAACAGTGGTGTTATGCAGTATGTTGTCTAATGTTTTTTAAAAGTGCATTATTTTTCAATGCTGCATTATAATTCATTGTGTGAATGTGTCACAGTTTTTCTATCCACTCATTTGTTGATGGGCACTTGGGCTTCTTCCATCTTATTTCTAATTTTAAAAAAGTGATGTGTGCACTAATCTTTGTTCCGCCCCCGAAAAAAATCCCCCATGCATCTTCCAGTCATATTCTTTATCTGTCAACCTTTTGTATAACCACAACTCAGTGGTTAAAAGCAGATAGTCATTTTCATTATTACCATAAACACAGTGGTTTGTTCTACATAAATACTGTTCCCGTCTGTTCCTGGATAATACAGTTGAATATTACATGCAACTTCAAACCAGGGGGTGGCAGTTCCTATCTAGTGTGTGGCTTCTGGGAAGAAAGGCTTTTGGAAAACCAGCCACTGAAAATTGTGGCACCTGTGGGGTCACCATGAGTCAGCGCTGAGCCACGGCACCTGCTTTCTTGTCTGTTCCACAGACCCTGTTTGCATTTTGGCAGTTCTCTCAGTAATGTCCTTTTTGTGGTCTAGGATCATACATGTTCTTTTTGAGGCCTCCATGTTTCTTTTCATGTGGACCCACTCCTCAGGTCTGTCTTTGTCTTTCACAGCCTTGACTATTTATGAATACTGGCTGTTATTTTGTAAAACAATACCTCGATTTGCATTTGTCTTGTTCCCTTTTGGTAATTTGGATTGAATTTTTGGTAAAAATCTCGCAGAAATGTTTCCTCTGTGGCCTGTCAGGTGGCATATGATGATGCCTCATCCTTTCATTGATGATGTGGACTTTGAGCACCTGGTTAAGATGGTGTGTGTCAGGTTCTCCATTGGGAAATTATTGTTGTTAGGTGATATTAAGTCCATTTCTACCTGTAGCAGTTCCTCAGAACTGTCAGTAGTGGTTGTGGAGGACTGTCTCGTTGTGTCCCTGGATAGATGAAGCTGTGGCTCATGTAGACTACAGTTCTGTAGACTACTCTTTTTTCTGAATCTGTTCTTTCCTTCTTTATCTTTTGCTCTGGACAAGTAGAGACCAAGTAGTTGTACATTACATGGCCACTTAACAAGCTTCTAAGATTCCAAATACTACTTACCCAACCAGGATATGGTCACAAACTTCATAATTAGGCCAGTGGGCTGATAGTGCTTGAGTCTATGGTCATAAGCTCCCCAAACTCAGGAAGCCATTCCATCAAGATGTCTGATTATGTGTAGAATTATCTTTAATTGTGCCTGATGTGTGCTTTTGTAGATATACACATGTTATTTTTTGGTTACTTTTGTTTCAAAATTATAATATGCCATAAATCAAAGTCCATTGCTGTTGAGCTTATTCCAGTTCATAGTAACCCTCCAGACCTGTTTCTGAGGCTATAAATCTTTAATGAAAGGAGACTACCCTTCTTTCTCTTGTGGAACAGGAGTTTTGACTTAGAACTGACCTTTTAGTTAGCATCCTGGCACATTAGAGCCACCAAGACTTCTTATATGTGCCATTGTTGTTTTGTTCCATTGAGTCAGATCCGACTCAAGGCGGACTCTCTAGTGGTTTTTCAGAGGCCATAATCGCACAAGAGGAAATTGCCTGTCTTTCTCCCATGGTGTAGCTGCTGGATTCAGACTATATGCCTTTGAGTTGGCAGTGCAAGTCCTCACCACTGAGCCATCAGAACTCCTGTATACATTACTAAAAGGTCCCTTTTTCTTGTGCTTATTTCAGTGGCATTTTATTTACCTTGCTTAAGTTGTACACACATTCAGTGTTACTTTTCCCATCCCCCAAAGTAACAGGTGTCTTATCTAGCAACCGAATTTCCAGGACCCCTCAGCCCCCAGCCTCTACCTCCTACCAGTCTTAGTAGCCATAAATGGGCATTAGGTTTTTGTGCTCATTTCTTAAGGGAAAGCATCTACTAATTGTTTCCTGCTTTGGTGTGTGTGTAGTTGGCGAAATGTCTTCCAGGCACATGCCTGCTCTAAAATGTTTTGGGGGATTGTATTTTGTGATTTAAACAATTTTAAACATCTTCCTTATTCTGCCCATTATTCTTGCGTTTTTCTTTTTAAATTTTATTTTTTTTAATAACTTTAATGAACATTAACAGAGAATTTGGATTTCCATTCATTCATTGCTGCACTTCTCTACCCGCCCAGCCCTCTCCCCCCCCCGCCCACCTGGCTCCTCTCTTTCAAAAGTAAAAGAAAGACTCCCTCCCTGGTACACAATCCCCCGCACCCCTCCCACCGCCCCAAGTACATTCCACTATGCAACCTTAATTGTGGACTCTTGTGATAACCATAATACCCTATCATACATCGCTTTTAAATTATTCAGTCCCTCATCTGTTTCAGTACAGTATACACAATTTATCCAGTTTTTCTCAGTCTTACCCCCACCCTGATATCAGTCCCATTTTACAGCAGTGGCACCATGCAATATTTGTCCTTTTGCGACTGAGATATTTCACTCAGCATAATGTCCTCCATGCTCACCCATTTTGAATAATATTGAATGAGTTCCTTGTTTTTCAGTGCAGCATAGTATTCCATTGTGTGAATATACCACAGCTTCTCTATCCCCTCGTTTGTTCATGGGCACCTGGGTTGTTTCCAACTCCTTGCTATTGTGAACAGAGCTGCGATAAATATAGGTGTGCATATATCTGCTTGGATGTCAGTTATGGTCTCTTTGGGATATATTCCCAGTAGTGGAATTGCTGGGTCAAATGGTATCTCTATTTGCAATTTTTTGAGAAAGCGCCATACCACTTCCATAGTGGTTGCACCATTTTACATTCCCACCAACAGTGAATAGGGTTCCAGTTTTTCCACAACATTGCCAGCATTTGTTGCTTGCTGTTCTGTTAAATTTTGCTATTCTGACTGGGGTAAGATGATATGTCATAGTTGTTTTGATTTGCATCTCTCTTAGAGCTAGGGATTTTGAACATTTCTTCATGTGCTTGTTGGCCATCTGAATGTCTTCTTTGGTGAAGTGTCTATTCATATCCTGTGCCCATTTTTCGATTGGATTATTTACCTTTATCTTGTTGTGGTGCTCAAGTATTTTATAAATTCTAGATATAAGTCCCTTATCTGACATGTCATTACCAAACACTTTTTTTTTAAATTTTTATTTTTTTTTTTAAATTGTCTTTTATTATTTTTGTGTATGTACTGTCAAATCAGATCTGACTGGTACAGGAGGAGATTGTTCCTCCTTCTCCAGCAGAGCATCTGGTGGATTCTAACCATGCACCATTGGGATTGCAGTACAGCTTCTTGCCTCTAGGCCACCAGAACTCCATTACCAAACACTTTTTCCCAGTCTGTGGCTTCCCTTTTTACCCTGTTGGAGAAGTTTTTGGATGTGCATAGGGATTTGATTCTTAGAAGGTCCCATTCATCTATTTTATCTTCTCCTGCTTGTAGATTTTTTAGGATACTTGGAAGACTGTTTATGTTGTGGATTAGGACTACTAGAATTCTTCCAAGCTTTTCTTTAATGAAGTTTATAGTCCTTGGTTTTAGTCCTAGATCCATGATCCATCTTGAGTTGGTATTCTTGGGTTTTAAGATTCAGTTTGCAGTTAACTTTCCAGAATAAGTAAATATCAGCTAGCCACCTCCTTTTGCTTAAAAATGAGTGTCTTGTTTGAAAGGATAAAGAATAGAAGTAGAAGGATAAAGTGTTTTTATTATTTTTTTATTTATTTAATACCATTTAATGATGACTGAAGTTTTTCAGAGTGTCAGTTGAGTTTGTTATAACTGGATCATTAGTAGACTTTGGATGTTTAGACTTGAGAGATTGACAGACTTTGACACTTCAGTTGCACAGAAACTCTGCCATCTTCTTGGGATGAATGTGATGGAGTTCACGCGGGCTATCCTTACCCCGAGGATCAAGGTCGGCCGAGACTACGTGCAGAAAGCCCAGACCAAAGAACAAGTAAGTGATATCAAGTATTCCTACAGATTTCTTTAATGATAAGGTGGCAGTCACTTGACCTTCACACGGACATGTAAAAAGGTCTTTATTACAAACAAGACGTTTTCATCATAACATTGATTGTAAAGGACACTGTTGAAGAAAATATGATGAAAACACAAAACAAAGAGAGAACTTGTAGCTAGACTTTCTGGAACAACAACAACAACAAAAAAATCCAATGCTAACAAAATGAAACAAGCGAAAATTAATGAAATAAAAACTTTAACTGATTTATAAAAAAGAAAAGCTTGATTTTTATGGATGTTTCTTGGTAATAATTGAGTATATTATCTGTAGTATGTTTACTGTTCTCTTTGTCATTTAAGTTTTTGAAAGTAACTTGAATACACATATATGTACATGAAATACCTTCTCCATCCTGTTTTTCCCTGTGGTTATTTGATCCTGTGGGACAGTTGTCTGTACTTTAGGAGTCAGGCTGGTGGCACTGCTGCTTTGTCCACGTGAAATGGGCCCATGACAGGAACACTGATACATTAGTTACCCAGTCATTGGGTTATTGCTTAAAAAAAATACATTAATAGTTTTGACTCAGTACATCGGGAAGTGATTTTTCTCTAAAAATGCGCCCATTGACTGAGCTCCCTCTAGGCCAAATTGTTTCATAGAACTCAGGATTTTATTTTAGGTAAGTATCATTTCCCACCCTTTTAATTTATTATCCTGATCTTATTTAATCAAACTATTAATGCCCTCTGTTAACATGAAGTGTTAGTTCAGATTTTCTGAGTGCTGTATAATAGTAAACTCTGATGCGAACTATTCATGATTGTGTTCAGAATAAAAGCTTGCTATTGTTTAATTACAGGCAGATTTTGCAGTAGAAGCACTGGCTAAAGCCACCTATGAGCGGCTCTTTCGCTGGCTTGTTCATCGAATCAACAAAGCTCTGGATAGGACCAAACGCCAGGGAGCATCTTTCATTGGAATCCTGGACATTGCTGGATTTGAGATATTTGAGGTACTCATTGCCTTATTCTTTCCTCCTTCCCATCCTCCTTTTTCCTTCCTTCCTTTCTAATTATACTTTTGACCCATTTTGATTGAAGCTCACCGTGCACCAGTTACAGGGCTAGACACAGTGATACCATGGTAAGCAAGACAGGGAAGCTCTTTGTCAAACAATAAGTAACAGCTAACTACTCAGTTTGCAGTTTTGGGAATTTGAGGAAGTGAATCCGATGCTGTGATAAAAAGAACTGGAGAGGCCAACTTTGTACAGCCTGTTTATGGAAAGCCTCATTGCATGCTTGGAAGTGTGAGAGGCAGCAGACCCTAAAACACTTCCTGGGGTATAGAGAGTAGTTCTGAAAGTTCTATGAGTGACCAGAGGTGGCTGACCAAAGGGAGAAATCACTGAAACACGGGGAATAATGGAGCGTAAACAGGAGGGGGTCGACTGTCATAGTCACTAGGGTCAGGATGGTGACGGCTGGGCTGGGATTCATCAGAGCAGCCGTGTGGGAGAAAAATGTGGAATGATAATCATCTGTGTTCTGACAAGATGACTAAAGGAGCTGGTAATGAATGTATTTTCATATGTTCTATTGTTAATTTGACTAGATTTCCCCAAACACTGAAACATACCACCAGTATAAATTACATTGAATATTTATGGTCACTTACTTGTGGTGATTTGAAAAGAAAGTTCAGTACAGTCTCAGAAAACCCGCTGGAGGGTCAGCTACGAGTCTGATTGGAGGACCCAGAGGAAAAAGAAAAAAAAGAAAAGAAAGTTCATAGTTTAGCCACATAAAAATGTGTATCTTTCGCTCTCCTGCATGCTGTAGTTGTTAATGTGCCATAAAGTTGGAACCAGCTGACTTACAAGTTTGCAGAGCCTATAAATCTCATGGAAGGAGATTGCCTGTCTTTCTCCCATAGAGCAGCAGGTGGATTTGACCCATGTGTTTTTAGATTGGTGGCATAACTCCTTACCGCTCACCTCCCCAGGGGTCACACGTTTACAATGGTTTTACAAAGAAGTTAAGAACTTGGCCTCATAAAAATGTTTGTCTTTAATTCTCCTGCATAGCTTGGCTGTATAATAAGGCATAAATACTAAATCACTACTTCCTGATGTCAATATTGTCCTTGTGACTACTATTGGATTTTGAATTGTCTTCTTTTAAAAGGAATCCATTTAAAATGATAAGTTATCCTCATAAAATCTGAACTGTTAATGGAATAACTGTTAATGGAACTGCCACTCTAAGAGATTGCTTTAATATTTACTTGATTTGTGAATAACAAAAAGATCATGAAAGAATGGGTGAATATAAATATATATGTAATAATTATATAAATTGTATTTAAAAACAAAAATCTTTTACCTTTCTATATAGATATATATCAGAAGATCCAGTGAAAGAAAAGACATTGTTTCCAACTGTATTAAAAACAGATCAAATACCTATGGATACATTTAAGGGAAACAGGTGCAAAATGTAGATGAAGAAAAATTTAAAATGCCACTGAGAAAAAGAAGAAAATTGAGCAAATGGAAAAACACACTCTGTTCTTAGGATAATTTTGCATTATTCCCCAAATAATATAACATTTTTGTTTAAAACCTTGAATAGAAATTTTGGTTGTCGTTAGGTGGTACAAAAAGTTAAGCTTCAGCTACCAGTCAGAAAGTTGACGGTTCAATCCCTCCTAGCGGCCTTTTGGAAGGCGGTCCTGGGGACCTGCTTCCAAAGCATCATGAACTTGGAAAGCCTTCAGAGCACTGTCCTGCTTTCAGTGTGTGATATTGCTGTGAGTTGTGATCGACCGGAGGACAGAGAACAATAGAAATTGTAAGGAGAACTAGGCATCCTTACTCTTAACTTGAAAAACAAATTAGAAAAACAACTATGAGATTCACCCCAGTAACAATAGGTAAAGTTACACAAAGCAGCAAACAACAAATACTGATGAGGTTCTGGAGAAATTAGAACCCTTATTCTCTCTTGGGTGGGAGTATAAAATGGTGTAACCACTATTGAAGGCAGTATGGCACTTTCTCAAAAAGATGAAAATAGGAATATCATTTGACTCAGCAGTTGCACTACTGGGAATATACCCTAAAGAAGCCAGAACTTCCTCCCAAACAGATATATGCACAACCATGTTTAGTGCTGCATTGTTCATAATAGCAAAGAGATGGAAGTAACCCAAATGTCCATCAACAAATGAATGGTTAGAGAAACTATGGTATACTCATACAGTGGAATACTATGCAGCACTGAAAAACAAGGAACTCATACAAAATGGGTGGCCTTGAAGTATATTATGCTGAGTGAAATATCTCAGTCACAAAAGGACAAATACTAATGCCACAGTTATAAAATAGGACTGCCATGGGGTTGAGATAAAACTAAGAAAAGAAGGGATAAATAACGAGCTCTGCATTTAAATCAATGAAGGGAAGAATTGTCTAAAAGAAATATATGATTAGGTATTATTTACAATCCAGAATAAGAGGGGCATAGCAAAGTGGACTGGGAGAGAAGAAGAAAATTGTACAACAATGAAAGAATGTTTTAAAAGATAAAAGTGAACTGGAGGTGGGAGGGCTGGTAGGAAGGAAAATGTGTAACAGTGAATGAATGGAAATCCAAGTTTTCTATAAACTTTCATTAAAATATCGAAAAAAAATTTTTTTTAAATTAAAAACACAGAAAAATATAGATGAATGGGATCTTCAAATAATCAAATCCCTATGCACATCCAAAAACTTTTCCAATTGCATAAAAAGGAAAGCCACAGACTGGGAAAAAATGTTTGGTAGTGACTGATAAGGACTTGTATCTAGAATTTATCGAATACTCCAGTACTTCAACAAGACAAAGATAAATAACACAATCACCAAATGGACACAGGATATGAATCAATTAAAAAAGTTGATATATAAAAAAAGAAAAACACAGGTCTATAAAAAAAAGAAAAATTAGTAGTACAGAGTAGTCAAATTCTGAAAAGGACATCAAACACTTATATTAGAACATAGGAAAATTCTGTAAGACTAAAGAATTTCAGCAAGTATTGCTTTGGTATGAATACACTTGTGCTTTTTTTTTTTCCTTTTTTTCCAGCTTTTTCTTTTTTTGACATCTCACATTTATGACAAGAGCCAAAAATATACTGTTCTGCTATTGTGTGTATTGACAATATAACATAGGTGCTAATGCTGCAGTAAGCGGAGCGCTGGATCTGCTGGTCGTGGTTATGCATTTACTTTACTGACTCAGTGGTTTGGCAGGAATGCAGTGATGTAATGTGGCAGCTGAATAAAGGTGCAGTTATCCTCTACTTTATGATCTGATGGAGCCAGCCTCCATTTTTTAAATAACAATTTTCATATCATGGCCTGGTGTTTAGAACCCAACCGTATTGATAGGAAAGGAATGGGTAAAAACAAATGGTGGGAAAAATGAATTAATAATAAAAATGCAGTCATTTTGTGAGCATTATATATCAGAGGTAAAACCCAGTGTCTGCTAGTAGGAGGTTGGTTAGCCGCCCTGGCAGTGCAGTGGTCAAGCTACTGCTAACCGCAAGGTGGGTGATGGTTTGAACCCACCAGCTGCTCTTCAGGAACAAGCTGTGCAGTGTGCTTCTGCACAGATTTATACCCGTGAGAACCTTATGGGAGCGATGTTACTATATCTGTTAAATCTTATGGGTGCAGGGGCCTGGAGCCTCCCTGCACTCTGGGAATTGGCTGCTAGCTAGCATCTTGATGGTGGTCACGGAAGGGAAGTTTTTGGGTCATGTTTGATGTTTGTTACTTCACTTTTTCCCCAAAAGCGGGTGTCCTTGAGCCTTTGACCCAAGGGTGGAGGTCTGCTAGAGGGTGTGTCTTTAAATGAATAGTCTTTAAATAACGCAGCAATCATTTGTCTATTTGCTTTACTGAACAACTTTGAGTTGCTGAGATGCTTCACACTGTTCCATAATCTTCTCAAATAGCATAATGGTTACCCATTATTATTGTACAATGTTTGGATGAGCTTCCACATTGATTCATGGTGGGAAGCAGGAGTGGCATCCACTTCCTAAACTAGATACCTCTGGAAACTCTGCAAACTCTCTAAACTGTTAATGTACAGAAATTATGTTAATTCTAGAACAGAGTTCAGGTCTTTTGTGCAAAGCTTACTCTGAGTCTTATTCAACTTGATGACACTCACTGCTAAATGAAATTAGTGCTGTTTGGAGAAACACTATTCCACTTTGTACATCACTCTTTGTTAATGTGCTGTATGAAGTAACCTGGGTTTTCTGTGATGCTGAACCTTGTGCCATTGGTATATCAAATACCAGAATGGTTTCCAGGTATGGACACTGTTTAGTGGAGTTCCCAGTTGTAAAACAAGTTGGGAAGCAGGAATGGCATCCACTTCCTAAACCACATGCCTTTGGAAACTCTATGAACTTGGAGAAACAGTGATAGTAATGGAAAGGCATTTAGGTCTTTTGTTTATAGAGTTGCTATGAGTCATATTGGACAGCATTCAACAACAACATAGCTATACAGGAAGGAACTGGACTACTATTATAAGGAATGGAGTTACTTTGTATACTTAAATGGAACGTCTTCAAGATACATCTTAAGTAGAAATTTTTTAAAAAAAGATCAAGGAGCCATATGCTACAAATGGTTAAGCATTCATTGCTGACCAAAACATTGATGGTTTAAAATTCCCCCCACCCTACTGACTCTTCAGGAGAAAAACCTAATGATTTGTGGTGGCCTAGTGATGAGAAATTACACTGCAATCCCAAAGGCACACTGTTCAAATCCACTATCTGCTCCACAGGAGAGTGATGGGCAGTCTCTTCCTATGAGATTAAACTGCCTCTGAAAACCCACTAGAAGGTCAGCTGTGGGTCATTTCTGACTCGATAGTACACAACAACAAAGATTACAGCCAACTAAACCTTATGGGGCTGATGTACTTACTCTGTCACCTGAAGTCACTGAGAGTAGTAATCTACTTGACAGCATGAGTTCATAGACTATTTCTAGAGAGAGGTGGATGTGGTTGACCATTAAAACAAGTAGTAGATAGGAGTGAGTGATTTCATTTCACCTCTTCTTACACCTTTTCAGTTTTATACCACATACACCAATTTTAGGGAGCTCTGGTGGCCTAGTGGCAAGAAGCTGCACTGCAATCCTGAAGGCAAGCAGTTCGAGGCCACCAGCTGCTCTGTGAGAAGGATAGGCAGTCTACTCCCCTGCGATTTACGCCTCTGAAAACCCACTGGACGGTCAGCTATGGGTCGGTTCAGACTTGATGGTACACAACAACAACAACAATTTTAAAATAATTTTAAAAAATTATAATTGGTAGCACAGTAAATATGGAAAAGAGACAAATTAATAGCACTTCAGCTAGTAACCAGGGTGTTAAATAGCTAAGATCTCTTTGTCTTCAGGCAATGCACAGTCCATGTGAATAAACACAGTTGAGTAGTTGTGAGTGTTCATACGGCCTCTCCAGTGTGCGTCATGCTAGAAGAGTATTGTCATGAAGGATGGACTTGGCCCAGGCCTTCTAGCAGGACTTCAGCTTAAAACTGTAACTCTGACCTCTCCATGGGTGTGGAAGATTGGAGTGGTTTTTTTCAGACTTTAAATCTCTTCCTTGAGGATTAATTAAACCTTCATTAATTGAAATTTTTTAATAACAAAAGCAGTAATTTATAGGTATCTGCTATTCATGTCAATAGCACAGAGATTGATAAATGTCTATAGTAAATCGAATGATTGCTTTCAGAAACATTTGTCTCTTAGTTCATAGATCCATGTATCCAGTGAACAGCACATTAGAAAAATGGGCAGAGTTAAAGAAATGGTTGTGATGTAAGGAAAGATTCTCATGCTCACTTTCTGAGATATTGCAATAATAAAAAATTAGTGAGAGAAACACAGAAAAGCAGCCAGGAACTGGGAACATCACAGTTACTGAATGCAGGCCATGTGTTAGTCTGGATAAACCTCTACATAACAAGGAAAGATGATTACTTTCTTAACTTGCCAACAAGTAAAGATGATTACTTTTCTTAACTTGCCCTGGAGCCAGAGCCAAGACCAGAGCAGGGTGAGAGAGAAACTGTGCTCTCCAGCTCCCTCCACTTACCTTGCCTCTGCCCTCACAAGTCTCTGTTTCATCTTTTTTTCTCAGTTTCTATCTTGTATTCTTCATTTCTATTCCTTAACTATTCACATTATGAATGGATAATGTCTTACTTGTAGATCATTTAGTTAATGTGAATTTATAATATCGTCATTTTAACAAGTCAGTAGTATCTGGTTAGATTTCGTCCTTTTCTTTTACTGATGAAGAAAAATGCCAGAAAAAGAGAAGAAATAGTGGGCACCTAATTAACAATTTTAATAAAGTTTTAAAAGAACTAGATGACTAATTTTTCCTTCTTCTCTCCCCTGTGTTTGAAAAATGGCTCATCATTTTATAGCTGAATTCCTTTGAACAACTTTGCATCAACTACACCAATGAGAAACTGCAGCAGCTGTTCAACCACACCATGTTCATCCTGGAGCAGGAGGAGTACCAGCGGGAAGGCATCGAGTGGAACTTCATCGATTTTGGATTAGACCTGCAGCCCTGCATCGACTTGATAGAGAGACCGGTGAGGGCGTGCACAGGCTTCTCGGCCTTCAGCTCCTGTGCAGAAAGTGCCTTTGATTTGTGTCTTGGCATAAGCTGAGGTAGAAGGGATCTTGTCCAGTCAGTGTTAAAATAGTTCTCCAGTCTAAATTTTCAAGGAAGGGAATGCTCTGATAAGAAAAAGATTCGACATGTAAGAGGCATGCCCACTGCTCTTCTGTAGCTTCTCCATTCGTACAGCGTGGTTTCTGAGCCATCATGTGTGGATGTACTGCCCCCGCCACACTCACTTCTGCTTACATTAGCATCACCCCACAATGCCTTCCAAAGGTTCAGACTTCCTAGGCAACATAAGGACATTTTAGCTGAGAAAAACATATTTCATGTAAATAAAACTTTAAATAACCAAAGCTTATCCTCATAAGTACAAACATGTTTTTAATTTGGCGATTTATTTTTTAATTTGACATTTCAGCTGTTATTTGATTTTTTTTATCTAAAAAGATTGCCTTTTTAATAGCATATAAAGCATCAGAGATTAATGTTTTGGTTAAATGGAGCTCTGCCATGGTGGTTTAATGTTAAAGGGAAATATGTAATATTAAGTAGAAACTGATGGGACTTCTCTCACTGAGAGTGTCGGAGTAGCTCTATAGTTAAATTCTCAGCTATTGAAAGACTGGTGGTTCCAGTTCATCCAGAGGCAACTGGAAGAAAGGCCTGGTGACCTGCTTACAAAAGGTCGCACCCTTAACAAACCTGTAGAGCATGGAGCATCATTGTACTCTGACACTTGTGAGATCAGCATGAGCCAGGATCAGCTCAGCACTATTGAGATGGACTTGACAGCAACAAGTTTGGGTTTAGTTTTATTCTCTTCACAACTGTTGTTATGTGCCATCGAGTCGCTTGTGAGTCACAGTGACTCTATGTACAAGAGCCCTAAACCCTGCTCTATCCTGTGCCAACCTTATTGTCTCTGACACACCTACCCCCATTACCCAATCCCTGAATCAATCCATCTCATCGAGGGTCTTCCTCTCCTGCTCTGTCCCTCCACCCTCCCAAGCATGATGTCCCTTTCCAAGGACTGGTTCAATACTAGAAATGAAAATCTGATGCACTTTTTAAAAAAATCTCTAAAATTTTTTTATAGTAAGAGATTTAATTATATCATATAGAATGATTCCTTTCAAAATGGAGCGTTAGAGCACTATTTTTCCAGAAGGAAAATACTCAGAAAGAGACACTGTGATGGTAGTACCGTGCCCATCCTGTAGCCAATCTCACCACCTTGCTCTCAAAAAGCTTTTCTAGAAAACTCCTGTAATTGTCGTAGACCATTAAACAAAACTATTCAGTCTCCCAAACCTGTACCTCTGACACTCGTTGAGTCAGAATTGCCTCACAGCTGATCCTTCCTTGGATTTCCAAGGCTGTAAATCACACGGAAAGAGATTGCCTATCTTGGGCTTCTGGTGATGTGAACTCCCAGGGAGGCGCGCTGTGTTGGGGCTAGCATGCGGCTCCCCACAGAGTACGCCACCAGAGCTCCCACGGGCTCTTTAGAAATACCCAGTTAGAAAGTAGTCACAGAGATCTTGACATAAACGGATGAAATAGAAAAATTAAAAGGAGGCAGTGTAATAATAGATATAATCATGCTGTCACAGTCATTTTTAACAAGATTAAATTTGTGTGAGATCCAATTTCAGAATTTAGTGTTTTTGTTAAAAGGGATTTAAAATATAAAAATCATAGTGGAAAGATGGGTTTTTCCCATTATCTTAATATAGAACGTTATTTCTCAAAGTTGTCAGGTGAACAATGTGCATTGAGCTATCTGTCACTCAGAACTGTCTCTTCTCTAGAATTAGCTAATCTTGATTGCCTTTGATTGTTTATTTCTTTTTTAGCTGCTCTGGATTCTTCAAGGTTTTTGGGTGGAGCCATCCACAAATAAGACACTCTCATTGGGCAAGAATTTTCTTGGCATCGATATGCCAGTATTCTGTGGGATCATCTTTCTCTAACCACATTGCTATATTGCTTCATTTTTGTGTAATTTTAACTTCTAGTTCATTTATAAACCGTGTTTGTATATAGGCGACTCTCTGCTAGATAAAAATAAAAATGGGTGTGCCCACAAACTAGTGCAAATTCAGTCATATCTCACAAATTTGTTATGTGTGCAGAACAGTAATAATGGCCCAGAAGCATATCACATCTTGGTGGTGGAATATTTCATTTTGTTTTCATGTGTATCCTACTTAGACCGGCAAAGGGCAAATCATCTCACTGATTTTTGGGTTCCTCAAGAATAAATGACAAATCAGGAATTTTTCAAGAAAGTTTTACAATTGTCATTTAAAATAATAATATTCAGTGTCTACCCTTGGTGGGTTCATAACTTTGTACAACCACCACTATTATTTAAAACATTCCAAAATGTTTTATCGTACAAAGAGAAACACTATGCCCATTAGCAGTCCCCTCCCCCGCACCATTCCCTGTGAACTACTGGTCTGCATTTCTGCATTTTGCCTTTCTGGCCCTGTTGGCTCTGTCTAGCTCTTTTCCAAGTGAATTAATTGAGTAACAAAAAAATAAACTCCGATATGATTGTTTAAAAAATATATGTAAAATGATTGGTGACTGATCTTATTCCCCTCCCTATATTCTCTGTAATAATCATTTTAACTAATACATCAACTATAAAGTGGTAGAATTTAATTGCCACTAAAACAGAAGGTTTAATTTATAAGAAAGTAAAATATCTATAGTATTCCAACTATTTGAGCTTTCATTATTTATCTAGCCCATCATCAAATATAAACCTTCAGTGTAATCTTATCACCAATTTCTTTCAGGCCTTTTTAAAATTAAAACAAGAACGTGTTGCTGTCAAGTCAGAACTGACTCATAGTTGATCCTCAGATCAGTTGATTTTCAGAGTAAATCACAAGGGAGAAAATTGCCCTTCTTTCCCTTTGGGGATTAAATCCGAGTACCTTTGGGTTGACAGTGCAGCTCTCTACCCTCTTGTCCACCAAATCTCCCTAAAAAGTAAAATTAGTTTACTTAAAATTTACTTGTTTATGAGTTCCTTAGTTATTTACTCATTTTCTTACCTATTCTTACTTAGCAGATTGAGATCACAGCATTTAAATTGCAGTCATTTGTAGTTTGGATATTACTTTGAAATTTGGTAATTTCTGTATTGTAGAGTTCAAATTGTTTGGGACATTAAGCTGTCAAATGCAGTGGAGAAAGTCGCTGGTATTTGAAGTGTCATGCAGTGTGTCAGCTCCTCTTCCCTGTCCTTGGCAGGCTAACCCGCCTGGTGTGCTGGCCCTTTTGGATGAAGAGTGCTGGTTCCCGAAAGCCACTGATAAAACCTTTGTTGAAAAACTGGTTCAGGAGCAGGGTTCCCACTCCAAGTTTCAAAAACCTCGACAACTAAAAGACAAAGCTGATTTTTGCATCATACATTATGCAGGGAAGGTAAGAGCCCTTGTTGGATAAGTAGATGTAAATTATGTTTGAAGTTTTACGAAAGCATGTAAAAGGATTATTGTTGTTGTTTACTGTAGAGTTGGAACTGACCCATAGCTGACCCTCTGGTAGGTTTTCAGAGACAGTCAATTGCGTGGGAGTAGAGATTGCCCAACCTTAATCCATGGAGCAGCTGGTGGCCTCGAACTGCGTGCCTTTGGGATTGCAGTGCAGCTTCTTGCCACTAGGCCACATTGGTCTATGGAAGTTTTTGGCTAAAGGTTAAAATGTCATCTGTTTGCTTTTCCCTCATCTCCTCACTTTGGGCTTGGGCCCGGTGTAGGTGGACTACAAGGCCGACGAGTGGCTGATGAAGAACATGGACCCTCTGAATGACAATGTGGCCACCCTCTTGCACCAGTCCTCAGACAGATTTGTGGCAGAGCTTTGGAAAGATGGTAAGGATGTGCTTATGTTTGTAATTAAGCTTGGCTGGAACCTTTTACAATTAAAGTTTATGTATGGTATGGTTCTCTTATTGTATGTACGTACAGATATATATATATATTTTATTTTATTTCATTTTTTTTTTACTTTAAAACTCTCTTCTTTCCCTAGAGCAGGGCTGCCATTATATTGGATGGAGTTGATCCATTTTAAGAATACTTGGGCTAAGAAATGGATAACAGGACCTTTACCTTCTGTGTCAGATGCTGGGTCTAGAAGTAGGGCCAGAAAGGACTAGCCATGTGCCTCAAGCCTCTCCATTCCTAATTCAGCCATGATCCAAAGGCCTGGGGACCCTCAAGCCAAGAAGCTGTACACACCCCTGCATTTTCTCACTCAGCGACAGTGTCAGCTAGTGCCCTCTACACGCACGCCCACACACACTCTGGCTGAATAGACTCGGACACCCGCTTACAGAGCAGTTGCTTTTATTTGCGTCACTGCTTATACTTCTTTTGTATACTTGAAACTCAGGTAGAAATTTGATAGTTTTATCTTAGACTAAAAGGTTTTACTAATACTAGAGAAAATGAAATTTTTGGTGTATCCCTGCATTGTGGGAACCAATATCTCCTATTTGAGCTTCGCTCTCACAGATGCATTCCATCCTGATTCTGTGTCATCTTTCTGCTGGCCGTAGACTATGCAGGGCCTCATGATGCTGCCCTGTTTGGGCCTTGACTGTGATGCCAGATTCTCCCTGGCTTTTTCTAGAACATCTAGACTTTGTAACCTTGATTTCTTAGGAGAGGAAAAGAAACATGGAAAGCAAAAAGGCAGGGAGTTATGGCTGCTGGAATGAAAAGAAAGAGAAAAGTGAATACAGAAAAATTAGTAGGAGCCAAAATTGCCATATGAAAGATTCTCTGCTCCAGATGACGTGAACATGCCTGGAGGCTGACAGCCGGTGAGTTCTATAAAGAGATTATATGCCTGAGGGGCAGGTGGCAAAAGGTTAGGTTTCCAGGAGGTTAAAACGGAAGCTCCTAGTCTTTCTCCTGAGTGCACACTATGCTGCTCTTTATGTCAGAAACCTAAGCAGTTGATGGATGGGACCAGAGAAGGAAAGCTGATGTGCAGTTTGCAGTCTTAAGTAGAAGGTCAGCAGAGAAGAGACATCTCATCAGTGAGATGGAGTGGCACAGTGATGGCAACAGGGGGCATAAGATCAGTGAGGGTGCTGCAGGGTCCCCATGGGTCAGACTCCACCCAGTGGCACCTAACAGTGCAGAGGATGCTCTAAACCCAGAAGCTAGGGATGGGAGAAACTGGCGCAGGAAACTCTAAATGTCTAGGGTCCACAGAAGAGAAGGAAGGAATAGTATAGCCATCAACAAGTATTTACTTGTTTTTGAGAATGAATTTCATTAAGACAACAGGACTCTGTGCAGTACTCAGCCCCTTCCACCTGGATCTTTGAGTCCAGGAAAGGGAGTGAGGAGAGATGCTTACAGACTCTTCCATAACAAATCCATATATGATAAACACCAATTGAATGAAACAAAATTCCTTTTTTTAGGATGGGTAACAGGAAGGGGCTACCCTTTTCCTGGGGGCTGAGTTAGAATGCCATAGAGGAAGAGGCATTTTGTCTTATCCTTGAAAGTCTGATTAGTTGAATAGTATCCCACTTTTATTGAGAACTTGTTAAGAGCTAGGTATTTTAAGCTCTCATTTATAAGCATGTACATCATAATCATGACTTAAATGTCTGGAAATGGGTTATACGAACTAGCTCAACTAGGGAGGGGTTAGTAGGATGTGGGAAGGGTGAGGATAAGGGAAGAGAATGATCCCATTAAGGAAGTGCAGAGCCACAGCAGGGTGATAGGGGCTGAGATACCACAGCAGGGTGCTAGGGCCTGAAACACCACAGCAGGGTGGTAGAGGTTGAGACACCACAGCAGGATGATAGGGGCTGAAACACCACAGCAGGGTGCTAGGGGCTGAGACACCACAGCAGGGTGCTAGGGGCTGAGACACCACAGCACAGTGATGGAGATCTTCAGCTGTGGTCAATGCACCATTGATCTTTAGAGTAGGAGGGGCCCAAATGGGGGCAGGAGTAGGAAGTGAGCCTGGGTATGAGGTGGACTAGGCAGAGAACCCTGACTGTCAGTCTCAAGTGGAATTTAGACTTGAAAGAGTAAGTAGCTGGAAGCCACTGAAGCGTTGTGATCCAGGATAGTAACACTTGAGGAAGCGCAACAGCAGCAACTCGGAGGGTGGTTTGAAGAGAGAGACCCCAGAAGTGGGGAGTTGGGAGGTGAATGGAAAGAATGTCTGAGGAAGAAATGGAGAGGTGTAGGGGGTTTTGTTAATGTCACAAAGAGCTTTTCTCTTACTTCATTCTGTGTAAGAAGCATGCATTTTGAAAGTAGCCAGTTGCAGTGAAATCAGCTCTGAATCACGGTGCCTCCATGTGCTCCCTAGAGGATTAAGTGGCTGATATGTTAGCAAAGTAGAGTACCAGGCTTTTCTTCCGTTGTGCTGCCAAAATTTTATAATCTAGTTGAGAAATCAAGATATGTACACAACCACAATAACAGAACTCTTTATCTTAGTTTTTACCTTAGTTCCAAGTTTTTTGGGTGTCCTCCCATTTCCTTTTCATCCCATCCCTTTATTCTCACATATCAGAAAAGGCTTTGGTAGCAATGGTTCAGAGGTTTTAGAATGTGAGAGTGGGAGACAGAGGAGGTGGGGGTTTAGAAGAATGATCGAGCAATGTGTATGGGTAAGGCCATATTTAGAGGTTCTTTAACTTCTTTTTGGTGCATTCCATTTAACAGACACAGAAATGTTACGTAAGTGCTTAGAGGAAGGCCTTGCAACCTCACGGAGTACCTCTGGCCCAAGCACAAGCCCTGCTTGTCTGCACAGTGCTCTGGCCTCACAGTCTATACCTTTTCCCATGCATGTAGCCCAGGACTTCCTAAATGGGTGTGGCTTGGGAGCGGGGTTGTCCAACTTCCGTCAGAAATCTTAATTCAGCCCAAGTTTGATTTGATTGTTCTGGCTTCTGCCCTAAGTGTTCACCATCCTGATAATGTTGCTATTACCAGGAATTCCTTTTGTCCAGGACAGAGGCAGACAGTTAACTCAGTATAACCTCCAGAATGGATCTCAGACTCATGTTCTATTGGAAAGGTTCACTCACAGGGTGAAGGGCAGACAGGAGGTGGGACTGGTGTCCAGTTTGAGGATCTTCCATAGAAAGTGAGCAGCAGGCATAGAAGTTTGGAGAGGGTTCCACAGTGGAGAGCTTATCATTGCTGGTCACCTGGATGGAGAGCTCTCAGAGGACACAGGGAAATGAATCAGCCATGGAAAGACACCTGATTTCGTCAACAGCTATGTCTTGGAGAGGGTACAATCAGAGTGCTCCTTGGAGGCAAAAATGATAAGATCTTCATCTCGCAGAGACATCATGCTTGGGAAGGTGGGAGGAAATGAAAAAGAGGACCCTCAACAAGGTAGACTAACACAGTAACTGCAGCAATGGGAGTGTGTCAGAGATTGTGAGGATGACACAGGACAGGACAGAGTTCAGATCTGTTGTTTATAAGGTTGGTATGGGTCGTACTTGACTCAACAACACCTATCAATGACATAGCCACTTAAATGCGAAAAAAAAAGAAAATTACAGACTGACCATGGGTGTGAAGTAGCTTGCCATGGAGACAGAATACATTGAGTATAAAAATATTTTGTTTTAAAATAGAGCTTGTTTTGGGGTGTTGGATAATTTACTCCAGGCCAGAACAGAGAAATAAGACTTATTGTTGGCAGCCCTGCCCTAGAGATTCACAGCACCCAACTTTTTGGTAAAAGATTATCTTTTGGAGTCTCTTACTAGCTGCATAGGATGTTTGTCACTTCTTGCGGGTTATATACAGAAAGAGTTAAAATAAAGATTACCTTTTTAGGTAAATACTCCTCTCAGGATATCTTCATGAGTAATAACATAATAAACAAATACCATCTTATAATTATGATCTGAAGTTTTTAAATGTTTAATTGGCAAAATCTTAGAATATATCATATTGTGGGTTTTAACATTATGCGTCAACAGAACTTTTAATTTTGCTTTCTTTAATAGTAGTTACCTGTCCTTTGGGAACTTATATTTGAAGTAAAAATTATGTTGCATAGTAAAATGACATGGTGGTGTGAATTTTTACAATCAAAGCCACTATTGTTTACATTTCTCACAGTTCTCTAATTTACTGCAGTCTTGTCCTAACTGGCTAGCTGCAAGATAATTTCATGATAGACAAGTCAAGTAATGCCATGTTACATCCTTCATTTTACATGATAATCATTTACCATTAAGATGCTCACACCTGGAGGTGGGAATGTGCTCTTTCGATTGAATTTAAATTTATCTTATAAAGAACTTTGTCCAACTGTGCAAATTCTCTATTGAAACTATAAAGTTTGCATGAGATCTGCTCTGGACAAGCTACCTTTGTAGCCCAATTTCAAAGTTTACTTGTGATGTCAATGTCTCTCACACTAACTGAAGTGTTTGTGTATTTGCTCTTCTGTCCTCCTGTTTTTGCTGTTTCTCTGCTTTAGAGATTCAGAATATTCAGAGAGCTTCTTTCTATGACAGTGTTTCTGGTCTTCATGAGCCACCAGGTGAATGGATAAAGCCTGTAGGTCTTCCAAAACAGAAGGGTTTTGAGCCCACAGGAACAGCTCGTGGGGGCTGGCAGGGTGGTTGGGAGGGCAGGGTAGCCTGAGGGGCTGGGGTTGGTCTCTGGGTTTCTGTTTTCGTTTTGCTCATAGGATTGCATGAACCCTTCATTTCACGCATCATTTTATTATACTTCAAGGTGACTGTTTTGAGTGCATAAAAAAAAATTCAATTGCTACTGCCTATACATTGCTTCTTCTTTTATGCATAGCATTTAGAGCTCTGGATAGTAAAAGGTATGCCATTACCTTTCCAAGTGTCCTTTTAATGCACAGCCCACTGGGAGAATGGCTAGTATTGATCTGCTAGCTGATGATCTTCTGTGCCTGAGTCACCACTGAGTTTTTAACTCTAACCAATTCTAAAAAGTTGGGTTGGTTTTAATTATTTTTCCTATAAGTCACATTTTGTGGGAAAAAAAATTACTTATCATATTGTCTTGTTCTCACCATTGTATCTTTTGTTGGGAATTCGTGTGCCTATCCAGCTACTTGAGTTTTTAATTTGATCTAGAGACACTGAAACTGTAAGACTTGGTATGTGCAAGTCAAGACTAGGAGTAGACTGTTAGAATTCTTACATCAGACTTTTAAGTTGAGCCCAGAAAGTTTGGATCTTATGATCTGAATCCTTAGCCCTGTTTTGAAACAGTGTAATGGTGAATGGTGTGTAATGTGTTGAGCTGATAACCAAAAGGTTAGCCATTTGAATCTGCTAGTTGGCTCTATGAGGGAGAACCGAGCAGTTTTGCCTCAGAAAGATTTCCCGTTTTAGCAACCCAACAGAGGGTCACTATGAGTCAGAAGTTGACAACAGTAAGTCCTTAGCTCTCTCTGTGAGAGAGCCCAGCAAGCCTCAGATAGGAATGGAACCCACCCAAGCTTCTGACTGTTGATTGAAACTGACATGTGGCAGACTCTAAAGATAAAGTGACATTTATCATCAAATTCCCATTATCATTTTAAATATGCTGAGATTCTAATCCATCTCAAATGTTATTTTAAACATTGTGAAGAAATGTACCTATTTTAATCTAAGTCAAGAGGCCCCTCAGCAGCTCTCACTCACATACTCTGAAAAGATGAGCTTGCAAGCCTGGCTGGTGGGAAATAGGGTGGGTGGATGGACCATTCCGGAGAATGTGTGAGTTGTGCTGAAACGTCCCCAGAGGGAGAAATCTTAACCTAGTCCTCTTTGGCCTCTGGAATACTGGAAAAGGAATAGAGGAGAGCTGAGAGAGTGTGGAGGTAGTTTTGAGCTAGTTTTGTTAAAAGGTTAGTTCTTGATCTTTTGGACTTTTTGTCCATGTCCTCTTAGATTAATTTCCTTGAACTCTTTTGAATTCCCAGTTTCTTGTTCTGTACTGTTAGTTCTTCCAGAACAGGGACACAGCTTCTTTGCACTTACTGTAAGCTCCTGTGCACCTGGCACACAGTAATTGCTCCATCAATAAGTTGCTGAGTGAGGCAATAGGTTGGTGGGTGAGCCCATACACCACATCTCATTTTCTGATGTGGTAGCTTTATTGACTTCTGGATTCTCCCTCCTCTGAAACATAGATGGAACCAGTCTTTGGGTGTACATACTAGGTACTTCCTGCCCTAGAAGACTCAAGTACAGAGCGTCTCCTACATGACAGCATTTGGGCAGGGCCACCGACCTACCTTTGTTACCCTCAGTGCTAAGAATGCGCTGCTCTGTTTCTCTCCTTTAGGAGCCCTTGGCTGTGTTGCTCCTTCAAACCAGGCACCAGGACTCAAGCTCTGCTTCTCCTGAAGGCTCATCAATCCTTTATGGTCTAAGCTTTCTATATTTAATTTTTGTAGCAAAATGTTTTTCACCTCCAAAGGGGCTTATGGATTCAAATATATGTGTGCAGTTGGATTCGTAGGAAACCCTAGGAAAGTTTAACATGAGAATTTGAAGGAATTAGTGTTTTTAGTAATTCTCAGAAGGCCATGAAGTTTTGTGGTTTGACTGGTCTCTCTCAGGGGTTTTATTGATTTTTGTTTTTATTTTACTATTACTATGAATTGAGTATGGATGAAGATGTTCATAAAGATTAAATTGTGATTGTCTTTGACATACAAACATGTATTAAACATCTCTAATGCTAGAGGGACCCAGGGAGCTCTGGTGGCTTAGTGGTGAGGAATTGCATTGCCAACCCCAAAGGTATGTTGTTCGGATCCAGCAGCTACTCCATGGGAGAAAGATGGGAAATCTTCCTCCTGTGTGATTTACCGTCTCTGAAAACCCTCTAGATGGTCAGTTATGGGTCATTTCCTGCTCAGTGGTACATAGCAACGTGACTACATGGAGTCTGGACTTCTAAATACTGCAAGAAATAAAAACTCTCCCCAAAATCAAACTTGTTGCCACTGAGCCAGATTCAACTCCTAGCTGACCCTCCAGAGGTTTTGGGTTCCCCCCCCCATTCATTTATTATTGCACTTTTTCCCCCTCCCAACCCTCCCCCCTAGTACACTACACTCTTGGAAAAGTAAAACAAAAAATCTTTCATTGTTTTACCATCCCTCCTCCCAGGTCCACTCCACTACGCAGCCATCACTCTGGATTCCTGTCATGACAAAAATACTTAATCACATATCCCTTTTAAACAGTTTTCTCCCTCATCTGTTTCAATGTAGTATACATTATTGAACCCATCTTTCTCAGTCTCCTCCCAACCCCGAGGTCAGTCCTGTTTTACAACAGTGGCACCATGCAGTATTTGTCCTTTTGTGACTGAGATACTTCACTCAGCATAATGTCCTTCAGGGTCACCCATTTTGAATAATATTGCATGAGTTCCTTGTTTTTCTGCAGCATAGTATTCCATTGTGTGCATATACCACAGCTTCTCTATCCATTTCTTTGTTGATGGGCACTTAGGTTGTTTCCAACTCCTTGCTATTGTGAACAAAGCCTAGATAAACATGGGTGTGCATATTTCTGCTTGGATGTCAGTTATGGTCTCTTTAGGGTATATTCCCAGTAGTGGAATTGCTGGGACAAATCGTTATCTCTATTTGCAACTTTTTGAGAAAGCACCATACCTCCTTCCACAGTGGTTGCACCATTTTACACTCTCACCAACAGTGAATAAGGGTTCCAGTCTGTCCACAACCTCGCCAGCATTTGTTACTAGCTGTTCTGTTAAATTTTGCTTTTCTGACTGGGGTGAGATGATATCTCATAGTTATTTTGATTTGCATCTCTCTTAGAGCTAGGGATTTTGAGCATTTCTTCATGTGCTTGTTGGCCATCTGAATGTCGTCTTTGGTGAAATATCTGTTCATATTCTGTGCCCATTTTTCAGTTGAATTAATTACCTTTATCTTGTTGTGGTGCTCAAATATTTTATAAATTCTGGATATAAGTCCCTTATCTGGTATGTCATTACCAAATACTTTTTCCCCGTCTGTGGCTTCCCTTTTTGCCCTGTTGGAGAAGTTTTTGGATGTGCATAGGGATTTGATTCTTAGAAGGTCCCATTCATCTATTTTATTTTCTCCTGGTTGTAAGCTCCAGAGGGTTTTTTCAGAGACTGAATCACATGAGAGGAGATTGCCCATCTTTCTCCCTCAGAGCAGCTGGTGGATTCCAACCACCTACCTCTGGGGGTTGCCAGCACAATTCCCACCTGACTCGGCCACCAGAGAACATTTATGAATAGTAATAGAGAAATAGCATCATGCAGTCATGGAGTGGACACAGACTTTTTGAGAATAAAAATGACAGAGTGGAGCAGAGGGTTTCAAAAGCATCAGAAAGCAAGAGCAGAAAGAAGAAAAAGAAACAGTGGAGACCCAGTCCCGTACAGAGTACAGGCGTCTTCCAGTTTCTTCTACAAACCCAAGGACAGCTTTCTTGTAAATATGTTTTGCAAGTCTAGACTTCTGGGATAAACCAGAAGTGGAGGTGCATGCAGAATACACTAGTAGAATCGATTGTAGCCCCCCCAGTTAAAGGCAAGGCTTTTCAATTTAAAGGTCTACAGTAATAGGTATGAGTGACAGGCTCAATCCAGACAGGGCTGGAAGGAAAACACTGTCATCTGTCTTAGCCCACGTGTGTGTGCCTGCATTTTCCCGTGTAGCAGGGCGTTTAGCACCCCTGACCTCTTCAATGCTGTATTGCCGCCGTTGCACTTGGAAGGACACACCAGAGACAGAGTAGGAAGGACTGTGATGCAAGTTTTTAAAAGCTGATGGAGCTGTAGCTAGACCCTTTCAGCTTCGTAGAAGCCGCACTTGCAATGTGCCAGCAGAATTCACTTAGGACTCAGAAGCAGCAAGGATGGGCCAGTTTCCTGTTCAGCAGGACTTCCAGGCCATTGTTTCTCAAGCTCTTCTGAGTCGGCCCTTATCCTCTGACACTGCTTATTTCTCTTTTCTCTTACATTCTTGCCATAATGGGGACAGGGGCAGGAAGGTGTTTACCTTAGAGGTGGTTTAAAACTAGAGCTTTGACTTGTTTCCTTCTAGTTCAACTCTTAGCTGAGAATTTGTCTCTTAGCTGAGAATTTGTCTTTCGAACCAAGAAATTAAAGAGCTGAGCAGAACATTTCAAAGGACAGCTCAGGATGACAAAGATACTATAATCAAATGTGCAAAGAACTGGAGTCAGAAAATCAAAAGGGCTGAACTCACTCAGTGTTTTGTTTTGTTTTTTTCAGTAATGAAAGAGCGTAATTTATTGTCTAATCTTTACATGTGTAATGAAAACTTAGAAAAGCTACAAAAATTACTACACTTACTTACCAGAGAGACATGAGTGTGTTCTAGGCAAAACAATTTAGAAAAAAATTATTGACATCTTCTGTATATTGGGGTATGACTTAGACACTCAATAAGACAGAAAATGTCTTTCCATTCATGATCATTTAAGAAGTTGACTCTTTGCACTCTTTTCCATGTGAGCCAAAACTAATCTGCAC